GAGCCGGGCTGCTCGTCCCCGCATCCAGCGCCCCCTCATTGTGGGGCCGGGCCTCGCGTGGGCCGCCCCTCCAAGAGGAGCCCGTCGGACGGGTTTGTCTGGGCACGGTGCAGCCGAGAGCAGCAGCTGCGCCAGTTCCTGTGCTTGTGCTTTCCTGGCAAGAGAAAAGTGGGTTCTTGCAGGTGTTCGTTGGTTGGGTTCAGGAGGCCAACTGCTGTAGCTTTTTTAGGAGAAGTGGTTTATCTGATTGCATGATCTGTAACTCCTTTTTTTTTTGAACCATCTGAGTGCAAAGTTCTTAAGGATGATCCTTCTGATGAAGCAGTTGCCTACCTATTGCCAATTAGCTTAGCAATCACTCTTAAAGACATCTATCTGGAAGAGTTTCTCACATAGAAAGTCCTCTCTTGTCAAACCTCCCTGTGTCCTAGTTTCTCTCAGATTCCTTTAGTCAGGCCTTGTATGTTGGTGATGATAGCCCCAGGCAGGAAGCTGTGCTTGGCATGCCGCAAAGAAATGGTCTAAGCTCAGCAGTGGTTCTGGAACAGTGGAAGTTGCAAGGCAGACGTAGTGCTGTGCTAGCACATTTATCTGGCTTGGAGTGTGGACAGCAGTGTCAGGCCTGTCTGCAAAAACCACACGGATCAGCAAGTTCAAGCCTTCTTAGTTTTACATATTTCTGTGGATGGAAAAAATAAATTTTGGAATTGGTCTATTTGTTTTTGTTTGTTTATTTTTAAATCTTCTCTTGTGAAATAAGCATTAGGGACCAGGAACTACATGCTAGAGGCAAAAAATCTTTTGCCATATGTTCAGTAGCTGGCTTTTCAAAGGGAAAGGCTTGGGTTCTGGCTCTGCTCTGTTTGATCACCCTTCTAACTCATGCTCAGATCTTGCTTGTGCTATTTTCGATTGTTTTGTGTTCAAGTGTAATCCACTTTTTAAAAAAAAAAATCAAAAGAGGCTAATTTAAGAGACAAATCGGTGATGGAAATAATCTCTTGTCTAACTACTGCTAATTAAAATTGAAATTTAGTAATATTTTTAATATTTAGCTTAATAATTAACTTAATAATAACTTAATATTTTTCTTTGATAGGTCTCAGTTCTGTGTAAAGAAAATTGCAGAACACAAACATGGGAAAGAAACGCACCAAGGGCAAAACTGCACAGGCCGATGAGTCTCTGGATGTGCTGGGTATGTTTCTTCAGAGAAGCCTCTAATCCTAGGAAGAAAAGTGTTTCTTTTAACTTCAGTTGGAGAAGGCTTAAACTCATTAATATCAGAAAAGCTTTACAAGAGTCACTGACTCTGAAGACTCAGTTACAGAGTTTTGACTTTATATAATTGGAACTCCCATCTTTCAAGAAGTGTTGGTGTTGATACTTTCCTAAATTTTCTGTAAAATAATAAACCTGTCTAGTCAAACTGACACATAGATCTTAAGTTTCCTAAGACTTTGCTTTGTGTAAAGGATTTATAGAGTTAGATGCTAAGTTTGTCTTGAGAAGTAGCATACTTCTGAGGGAGACTGTATACTTTTAGAAGATTCATATTTCAACAATAAAAGACTTTGATTGAAATATCTCTGAGAAATCACTTCCTTTTTTTCAATATCAACTAACTCAGTCTTGATGCTTTAACTGTCACTGTTTTCCACCCTTGCTTCCCCCAAGTCTGTAGAGTCTTAGTACTTTTTGTTTTTAGGGGAAAAAAAAGTGTCAATCCAGCTTTCTCTTCCTTCCCCTTTGCTTTTTCAGAGAAAATCCAAGATAGATAATGTTATCTCACCTCTGCATTGAAGCTTTACTGTCTTGTTTACCTGAGTTATTCTAGCTATTGTTTCTGCTTGTACTGTAACATTCTCTTATACAGCCTTTTCTACTAAGTCACGTTCTTGGCCACCCACTTGCCTGTCACCCATCTTGAATGCTGCACTGTGTGGCGCAAACAACTTGTCCCATGCTAATTTAGCTATTTTGGTTTCCTGGTTATCCTTTTTTCATGGTAGCTTTTTCTGTCCTATGATGTTTCACCTCATTTGTCTTTTTAATATAGTTGAGATCACTGTCTGCCCTGGTGTTTGTGTGTGGTGGTGGTTTTCTTTTTTTTTAAACGCTGTCTCTTGGCTGCACAGGTCAGCTCTGAGAACTGAGGTCAGCTCAGCCTATCAAGCCATGCATAGAAGCTCTTCACAATGATCAGTTTTATTTAATTTATAATAGCAGCCAATATCGAAGAGCTTTATTTACAAATACAGTTTTGAAGCTGTGGATGAAGCTTGTGCCTTTAAAAAAAAAGGTGCATCCAAACACTAAATGCACTACAGAGCTTTTTCAGCTACCATTTGTGCTGTGGTGAAAATCTGTTGATCAGAATTAGAAGTCCAGGTACAAAACTTCCCCTGGTTTCAGCTCATGACAAGAAAAAATGGCCGTTTTGAGGCTGTAATCTTGCATATGGTACACAACAAAGGTAAAGCTGAAGCTATTATACTCTCTCTGAGGTGAAAAATGACTTTTTTTTAAAAAAAGATGTTAAATAACAACAATGCTTAGTGAGGGTCACTGTGTGCTTTTTAAATTAAAAGTGAATATTGACTGTGTCAGATATTTGACCTTATATTGACATATTTAGACACTTTTAGCTGAAAACAGTGAAGAACTGTAGGTTGATGATACCACATGTCTTAATAAAATGCACTCTACAAAAATACATTCAAAAAAGAAATTGCAGTGCTTATTTGGCAGAAGTTGAATCAATTTGGGTATGCGTTTCCTTTTGATCAGGAATTCTACATAAATGACTTAACCTTTTAGGTAGCTTCTCTTGCGCTCAAATGATGGAGTAACCAAAAAAAAGACCTCTTAAGAGTAACTCTTACCAATGCATTACTGTGTGATTGCAGTTCTCAGACTACCCTTTTCTAGCAAAGGTCAGTTCAATAGATGCAGTTCACACAAGACCCCGAAGATGCAGCCCTGTTTAGAGTGCAGCACTGTAAGGTGACAAAGGCATAAATGTGATGGCTCTGTCATTGCTCTTTGCTATAGTCTGTGGCATAACTTCACTGAAACTGCTCAGCAGCAGCAGGAGGCATGGTCTTCCCTCCACCATAATAGGCTAGCCAGGTGCTGCTTTAGTGGCTGGGGACCACGGCAGAGGGTTCTGGCAGCAACTTGGGAATTTGTGGGAATTGTAATCACACAGAATCACAGAATGGTTAAGGTTGGAAGGGAGCTCTAGAGATCATCTAGTCCAATCCCCTTGCACACGCAGGGACACGTAGAGCATATATATATACACATATATAAATTGCTTTATGCCTCAAAACGTTAGCTGTAATGCTATCTTCTCCTTAGTTAATACTATCAAACTACACTGAATTCTGATTGTAATGTTTTCAGCTCCTGATGATGCATACTACTGAAAAGTCTATTAAAAATTAGTAATGCCGCAATCATAGAAGCCCCATGGCTTGAGCAGGCCTGGCACAATAGCCGAGTCTTTATACAAAAGCTCTGACAGCTTCTCAGACTAGATGTAGGTTTGAGTGACACTTTTCTAGTAATATGGTAGTGTAGGATGCATCAATTTGTGGATGGATGGTTAAATTTCTTCCTGATGGTGTTTTCCGATATGTCTTTCTGGCTCTAGAAAGGTCATGTTAGCTTCTGGATTGTTCCCTGTGCCTTTGAGATGCTTACACTTGTCACGCTGTCTACATCCTTACACTTGTCACGCTGTCTACATCCTCATTGTGCTTTCTGTTTCGCAGAGCCTGTGTGCAAGCACATCCGTAAAGGACTGGAACAAAGCCATCTGAAAAAGGCTCTGCTGAGCGTGGAGTGGCACGTCTGTCAGGACTGCAAGGCAGACGATAAGCAAGAGGAATCTGAGGAGACTGATGAAAGCCCTTCCATATGGTTATGTTTAAAATGTGGCCATAGGGTATCTCTTGTTTTGTTATTTTGCCTTGATATCTTCAGTGCCTCATAATGTAGTTGAACAAGACAGCATCTAATTAAACCCTTGTTTTACCTTACTTTTGAGTCTGAAGGTGGCGCTATATGGATGAGCTGATGTACTTCAGTGTGATGAAGTATGTCTGGTCTGACTTGCAAATACAATACTTGGAAGCTTGGCACAAAGGCATTTAGCAGACTTAGGGCTAAAACACCATCTTGAGGACTTAATTTTCCTCTTAAAGTCTGATTTCTTTTACCAGGAAAATAAATAGTTCTATTTATTATCCTAATGCAGGATTTGCATTATAAAGTTTTGTGCCGAGATTGGCTTGTTGAACTTACAGCTGTGCATGCTGAACAGGATTTTGGTTTTATTCTGTTTAACTCTTTAAGTTGTTACAGTTGAAGTTTGTGAGTTAGTTGTCCAGCCTCCAAGCAAATTGATAATTACTATTCACTTAATAATTTACTTTTTTTTTTCTCCATAAAATGCATCTTGAAATAGTGACCTAACTGTTCATCCTGGTTAGTTTAACATAATTTTAAAATTAAATCCAATTAACTGTATTTATATTCTGATTTTATATATGTTTCATTGATAGTCAACTGGGTTTTGTGACACTTCTGGTTATCAACATTATAGGGCTGTGGCAGAAATTCTCAAGAACAGCATGCTTTAAAGCATTACACAACGCCAAGATCAGACCCTCATTGTTTGGTTCTCAGTTTGGACAACTGGAGTGTGTGGTGAGTTTGTCAGGCAACAGTTATAAGACATAGCTAGAAGAAAATGGAAGTTGGGGTGTAATCTGTGTTTATTTACAATTTCTAGGAGCTATCTCTAGAAATTTATATACATTTCCATACACAAAATCTCATCAGTCCTCAAGAGTTGCTGAATAATTACCTTGTAAAATTTATAGCTAGAAAAATGTCATAACTAAAATTGAAATGTACAAATTAGCAAATATTGCGGGTTTCCTATTTTATTGATTCTGCAAAATCAAAATACACATGGAAATATATGTTGTTATGCAGATCTAAATATTAATATTGATGGAAGCTCCTTTCCGATGCATGTATAGGGAACAATTTGATTATTTTTCTTTTCTCAATGACTTCTTGCTCCATACTTATAATTAAGCAAAACTGCACAATCTGCACATGATGCTACTGGACCAATCAACACAGATTCTAATGTATGGTAGTGTTTGCTTCTCTTAACGAAATAGCATATTATAGATGGAGAACCTTCATGTTTTAAACAGCGCCAAATAGAAGTATTGTGCTTGACCATTTTTATTCTACTTAGTTGCCTTTCTCTAAACTTACTCTGTCATCAGGTTTGATTTGATATGATGTTGTCTTTTTACTTAATCATATATGTAGCACAAATATATAGATATATTGACCTCTAGAATGGAAAATAATTAATTTATTATTATTAATGAACAAGTGAATGTCCCTTTTTGTTTTTAAACTAGTGCTAAAGTTACCATTTTGAGATGCTTTATTTTCTTTATTTGAAACCGCGTATCATTTTTAAATCAAAATACTTGTGAATGAGTGGAAGTTGACTAAGCAGGATATTTTATTTCCTTTCGGAGAGAGTAATTTCTTGGTAGTGCAAATTTGTTTGAGAAATTCTTCAGAAAATTACATGTTATTGGGTGTAAACTATTGCTGTGAGTCAAAAACTTTAAGAACTCTGTTCCATTGTCTCCACTAAATAGAAGCAAAGGTAATTTAATCAGACTTACTTATGCAATGGATATATGAATGAAGTTGAAGATTTTTAGAGTCTCTCCATAGTGTGCAATTGAAATGGACTTGAATAGTATTTTAGAAGTTAAAAGAAACAGTTCTGAGCTTGGAGACAAAGAGGACCGCCCTAGTAAGTCTTTGGGTTCTGCTAATTCAGGATTACAACAGATGCTACTGTATGTATTTGCAGTTCCCTGTATGTATTTGCAGTTTGTAGTCAAACACATTACTGAAAAAAAACCTTCATTCTAATTCTTAAGTCCTTCAAAAACTCGTATTAAAATTCTTGACAGAATGTTACTGGGCTAAAATGGCTTGTGGAATGAACTGTTGCATGTTTTCCCAGTCATTTGTTATCAGTCTGTTCTTAAAATTAAATGGATTGACCATAAATAAATACCAGAGGATTCCTAGAAATTAGAGCAGATTTTTCAATGAGGCGTAAGGAAATGTGAAAATTACAGCTAAAGCTGAGAATTGTACAGATTTAGGAAAACACTTTAATGTTTTCAAGATTAGAATATATAGTCTGGCTCTTGGTAATCCTGAAATCTGCTAAATGCATTTGTGCCTAACAACTGTAATTGCTGTGTTTCAAAATGCAGAAATATTTGCATTCTTATTTTGTGAGCTCTTCAAAAAGCTGATTAGGCAGAACTGCAAAATTTGTCCATGTCACTCTCTCCCATGTATGTGGACTGGAAGAATTTCACCCTTCAGTGAGCTTTTATCACTGCAATTTCTGTTGCAGTTTTGTTTAAAAGAGCTTAGTGGTCTCACTGTGATCTATCTTTGCTCATAAAGAGAAATAGATTTGTACCAGCAGCAAAAGAGCAAGTAAGAGCATGTCTGATTGATGGAGCACAACATTTGTTTCTTGTCCAGCTCAAACATAATAAAGTACTTGGATGGTTAGAATTCTCCAATTATTTTTAGTCCCTTTAGTACATAAGGTTGATAAGTCATTTCCTTTAGGGCCTTATACTTTGCTTTCTTTATTTTAGCCGAATTTCTCCTGCGCTTATTTTATTTGCCACCTAGATATCTAAGTGCATCTACGCATCTAATTCATGTTTGTAAATTGCATCCTCCAATTACTGAAATTACTTAATTTTGTTAAGTCTTTATTCTTGTAATCAGCAATGAATTAAATTCTTCTCTAAAACTTCTAATTCTTAAAAAGAAAAAGAAAACTCATAACTTTATAGCTTTGTGTTATGACATGCATCAAACCAGAAAATAATGTAGGATTTTAACTATTTAAGAATTAGAACTAATTGTTTTTCCTTTTTGGGTTGTGGCGGAGACAGGTGCTACATGTGTGATAATGAAGTTCCATATAGTACCTCAACCCGATTGGGCCAGACTGTGGATTATGTTAGAAAACAAGTTTGCAGTAGTACATCATGTACAGGTAAGCAACTGTAGTGTACACACGGGAAACTGGAAAGCACCTTAAATGTAGCAAACAGTACTTTAAATCAAGACTATACACTAAATGAGGTTTAACTCAGGAGCATTTTATGGTAGAATAAAATGTTAATTTCTATCTTTACATTATTGTCAGCGTACTGAAAGTGCAAATATCTTCCTAACTCACTAGCTAATTGGTGTCCCCTAAGCTTCTACAGAAAAAAAAAATACGGGAATAGGAATTAAAAGATACAATCTTAATATTATAATATTTGCGATGGGGAGAAAGAATGTGGGAATGGTGATAGACTGTTGTGCGAGTAAGGAATCCATTATCACAGTTACTCATCAGCAAGACTCAGCCTCTCTTACGATTTGAAGGAAAACTTAAAATTTGCTTGCTTAAGGGTAGTTTGGTTTTCTTACTGTATTTTGGGCTTTTGTTGTTGTTGTTTGGTTTTCTAAGTAGCTCTGCAGACATTCTTGAATACATGAGCTGGAGTGACTAGGTCCCCAGCTGTTGCAACCCACCAGGACGTTTTCTAATGGAAAAAGTGCAGGAGGATTTGTCTTCTGAAGCCATACGTTCGGCATATGTGGCTCCTGTGCATTCAGCACTCTTTGAAACAGTGTTTTCAGCCTGCAGTCTACCTGCAATTTTGATTTATTTATTTAAAAAGAATTTCCACAACAGTTTCCTGCAAAACTGTTATTCTACGTGCCATTTCCATTGCAAGAATTAGAAGAATGTACATATCAGAATATCTTATGGTTACCAAACATTCCAACAATCTACGCTTAGATCAAATCGCCCCTTTTGGGAGAAAGCAACCATCTAGCAATTCGCAATAGTTGCCTTCAAGTACTTCTTCAGGAAGAAGCTGACCTTTTCTGACAGAGGACCATGCTGTTCAGTCTCATTTGCTTAGTCTTTTCCTTTCTATATGCTTAATGTTTGAGCTTCATATTGCACAATATTTGCTCAAGTTTGAACTGGAACTGGATGAATACCTGAGTGCAGAAGTTGCCCATTTCAGGTGTTCCATCTGTTGTCCTTGATTTTTTGTCTATCTGCAAAGATTGTATCATCCTGCTGCTTCTCCTTTTCCTGACCTGGTGTTTCTCTGCTTTGAAGTTAATACCGGCCTACGTTTTATAAGAACTTTGTTAGAAGACTGACACACTGGCAGAACCAGTGCAGGAGTTACTGTGAAAAAGCCCTGGTGCTACCTTACGGTTTTGTTAAACCAGTCATTGAAACTTTAAGCTAAACAAAAAGGTAATTTTGGAGAAAACATCTTGACGGATATTGAAGAATATGAAGTTCCTGATTTCTGCCTTTTACGTTAATGAAATAAGCATAAGATTGCTTTGAGAGTGGGGGACTTGTTGCATTTCATTCTGCACAGTAGTGCTGTGTTACATGGGATGTTAGCTCAGATGCTGCCCTGGTGGATGTTATAGAAAGCCCTAATGTAGATGGTGCTGTAACAGGAATGAAATTTCAGAGAACACATGTTGACTTTCAAGGATTGTTGGCATGAATGACTTGTTGGCTGAATAGTCTGTTTCAATCATATGCTAATCTGAAATGGAATTTCAGCATTTTTGTTTGTTTCTTTTCTGTTAATCTTAACTCCTGACCGTTTTAAAAACCCTAAATAGTAATTTTACATTTATGCTAATTCTGTAATTCTGTGTTTAAATTTAAAAGTTTGAGGACTTCTGTTTTTTCCTGGCCCATTTCCTGTTAATTGGGTTAATATATGGTATGTTTTTTGTTATTTCAGTTAAAAAACAACAGGAAAGCAAAGAACTTGAAAATAAAAAAATAATAAAAGACAACAGAAATGAGCAAGAAAAAGAAGTCTCGCTCAAAGAAGAGAACTCTCACTCAAGTACCAATTCAGAAGTAACTGTGAAAGGACTTAGTAACTTGGGGAATACATGTTTCTTCAATGCAGTAATGCAGGTATGATAGTTGTTGCTGCTTTTTTAAATTAAAATAATAAAAAAATGAAGCAAGAAGCAGTGGCACAAAAAAAAGAAAGTTTTAAACATGCCATACTGTACAGCCACACAACTGGAATGCATTTTTATCTGCCAAGAATGACAGGTTCGTGCTAAAAATACAGAGTTGGCCCAGAGGAATGTGGGGCAGTGAGGGTGCAGGTTTGGACTTGCACTAAGAGAAGATGCAACCAATTGCCTTGTTTTTGACGGACCACATCTGACCATGCCAACTACCTAATTTAGTAAATAAAAATGTGGCCTGGTACATCACCCTTGCTGACTTCTTAGAATATGACAGATTAATACCCGAAGACCACTTTTTTTTGAAATAAAAATACCTTTCTCAGCAACAATAAATCAAACACAGCTAAAGATTAACTGGATGAGTGTAATGCATTGCCATCTTGTGTGTCTGCCTCAGCTAGTAAATGTTTAAATAGAAAGAACTCACCCTTTTGTGTGTATTAAATTTTACATAGAATCTTGTGCTCTTTGGACCTTCACATTGACACTTTTTACAAGCAAAATTCCCACTTTGTTCACAGGGTTTAGTGAACTGTTTGATAGTGTGTACCATGTTTTAATCAAAAGAAAGAGATGTACTGCATGCTGTCTCGTGATTTAGAAACAGGTACTAGTAAACAGACTGAATCAAAAGATCAGTCTGCAGAAAGATAGTAGATGTAGGGATTTTGCAGTCTAATGTATGGTGAGGATACTCGTATGTCTCTATCTCTAACAGTTAAGTTTTGTAAACCTTGTCATACGTGATTTTGGAAGGAACTAATCTGCTAATTTAATTGCCAGAAAATGTATGATAAGTGGAACCACTCTGACATTCTGCTTGTTCCACAGTTACCAAACTTCTTCTTTCTTCTTCAGAATTTATCACAAACTCCAGCCCTGAGGGAGCTGCTCAAAGAAGCTAAAATGTCTGATGCAACGATTAAAATAGAGCCGCCCGAGTTCTCCATGGTATATATGCTTCAACTACCAGATTGACTCTTTTTTTTTTCCCTTAAGTATGTTAAAGTACAAGCAGTTCTTTCCTCTCTGGATTTTGAAATCACTTAAAAATTTCAGTTAAAAGCTAATAAGATGTAAATTTAGTGAGGACTTTGCCATTGACTTCAGCAGAGCCAATACCCCATTGGAAGCAGGAGAGCACTGATTTAATACTATACATACTAGTATTGTTGTCAAAGAAGTAATTACATCATAACTATGTATTTAAGGGGTATACAGGATAAAAATGTCTAACTTTTGACGTGGTGTGATTTGTCTGGATTCATAATAATAAACTGGAGCATGTCTCTAGTGCTAACTTTTAGATACTGTATGTATCATTAAAATCAAGATTTAGCTGGGAAAGAAGGATTGTTCATTTTAAGAAGTTACATTGTTTCTTGATAAAATGAGAAATCTAGGAAATTCAAAGTTGAAGTTACATAAGCAAAATATATGAGCATTGTAGTAAATTTAAGCAATAGATAATTACCGATCCTTAGCTCAGTGTTTTGATTCTGTCTCATGAAATATCTTATTTTTTGGTTACTTTTGTCAGCTTAACTTACTGCTATTCAGGGATTTTGTGCATTCTGTTTTGTAAGAATATTTTCAAGAACTGAAGAATTGAATTTTAGGGAAAAAATATTCCAAACAGATCTGTCACCAATTTAAAGTGCAACAAAGTTCCTTCTTTTATTTAAAACAGGAACCTCAACTGATAAAGCTAGATCAGCCTGGTCCTCTGACGTTAGCCATGTATCAGTTCCTGACAGAAATGCAAGAGACAAAAAAAGGAATAGTCACCCCTAAGGAACTTTTTGCTCAGGTTTGTAAAAAGTGAGTATCTGTACAACTGCCCAGCATAGTGAGTAACACACACACACAGACACACACATACACACACACACACAAAATAAACTTTTTACCTGTTTTAAAAGAAGGGCACTTTTCTTAATTTTATCATGTATTAAGTTTTGAAAGAAGAGAGTAAGGGACACATATAAATGAATAAAATTAAATGAAAGAAGCAAGTCTAGTGAGAACTTTTTAATATTTTCAGAAACTTTCATATGCTCACACTCATTGCTTTCATAGAAAAATTAAAATCAACACATAACGGACAGAAGAGGACAAAGTCTTAAGCACGACTGTCCACTATTAAGGTGAATTATGCCTTAGAACTGTTTTTCATTTAACAGAGCAATACGATTTAAAGGTTATCAGCAGCAAGACAGTCAGGAGTTGCTTCGTTACTTACTTGATGGAATGAGAGCAGAAGAAATCCAAGTGAGTGTTTGTTTCGAAGCTTTGTGAGGTGAACAATGAATATATTTAACAGTGCATCTGTTTTTGTTTGTTTGCTTTATTTGGGGGGAACTTTATTTTTGTTGGATGCAAATGTGCTCTTTTTTTTTCTCCTGTGTTCTCCCAGTAAAATCAAGTAGAAAGGTTGAGTTTTGTGTGATCTTTTTGTGGTTTTTTTTCTTCTATTTTTTCCCTTTTCTTTTAAATACCCA